GATAATGATCTTGCTATAGATCTTCCTGCTTTGATGGCATGGGATGTGGGCAAAGAAGTGGAAAGGAAGCTGGAATCCACAAACATGAGGTTGAGATAGAAACTTTGGCCAAAAAGGCGGCAGCTGAAGATCAGACAGGGAAAAGAAAAAAAAAATTATATCTATCTATCTATATATCAGGGCAGCAAACAACTTTAGGGATTTGCTTACATTTTGGAGACAATCTCTTCCCCACAATGTGCAGCAACTTAAAAACAAAAATTATGAATTCAGTGATATTCCTGATGAAAGAAGTCACTGAAAACACAGGAACACCTTTTTTTAAAAATCATGTGTATATAGGGAGGAAATGGCATGCATTTGCAAATCTAAGACAAATATCTTATTTAATCAACCCCCAAAGATTTATTTTTAAATGACTTCCCCTGCTCCTGGAAACTATACCTGAAAAAGATTTTTATTTGGTTTGAAAAAGCCAGAAGGAGGGTATATGTGGGCACATAAAATTAGGGCTCTAATGGAAAAAGCTAGTCATAGCATTAACAATTGAGAGACTACCACCCTACAGAAATTAATTAATTAGTTTCCTTTGCTTTTAAGCAAACTGGCAACGTGGTTGTTTCCTTTATTGTTGGTAGTCTGTGTACTGCAAATGTTGGACTGCCCTTCTATTACAACTCATTTTCTTTGTATACATTTTTCCCCTTTTATTTTAAAACGAGTGTAGGGAGAAATATCCTGAAGCTATGTTTTAAAAGGTCAGTTTAAAAAGTACAAAAACAGAAAGTACGTGCAAATAGAGAATTTGCTGAACAGTAACTCTGAACAGCTTAATTTTCTTACTTCGTGTTCCTTTAACTCTTAAAACATGTTCTTTGTAAGTCAAAGAGGCCGTTTATTGTATGCTGTCCTTCACCTCCAGCATTCTTGGAGAAGCTGGTAGTACATAAGATGTCTGACAGGTGCAATAATCTGGAAAATACGACTTCATGCCTTTTTCTCAATAGCCTGAGGGAAGACGTTTAAATGCAACCACAAAATATCCCCTGCAAGTTAGATTAATGGCATTCCCAATTCCATAGGGAACCACACACCAAATAGACAACATAATGCAACAATAAAAAAAATGGAATCGCTATGTAACTTTGTATGTAGATAACTTCCAGACAATGATTTCTTTTTCTTATTACTAACTGTCGGATGGGTATGAGCCAGCAGATGATAGGAGTAAGGAAAGACAATATAAGTTTAACAGAACGGTGCTTACTAGTATGTAAGTTTGTAGTGCAAGAATACAACTGATTTGTCAGATTATAAAGTCTCCGTTCAACTTCACTCAAAACTAGCTTGGGGTAGTCTAGGAACACAACTTGGCTCTAACACACAAAGCGAATACAAAGAACCGGAGAGCCCGTGGGTAGAATTCAAGAAAAGAAAAGGAGCCTGTTTTAAAAGAGTGGGCTTTGTGAAAAACTCTATCCCTATTGAAGTGTTAAATCAAGCAAGGAATTCACAGCTTGCCAGTTTCAAAGCCTGTACTGTCAAAATCAGAGTCACTGCAGTGCAGACTGCCAGAAAAAAAGTAGCTATAGAATACAGAACCTATAGGCTCTTGAACTCTGTAGTTGGTTCCTGGAAAAAAAATAAAAGTATAGTATTTTGCATACGACCTCTATTTTCTTTTGGTAATATGGCTAACTAGTGATGACACGCACAAATATACTGCGACACAAAGACTTTGGATCCTTCACTGGTCAAATGCATCCTGCTTCTTCAGCTGTGACCTTCTTTATTCTAGCTTTCTTTGACTATCCAACATGCTTTGCTCTTCTGACACTTCACCTCTTACCACCTTGAGTTTTTTTCTCTTGTTCTGGATAAAATTCAAGCTGCTACATCTTAGCCGTTCCTCCCTGCCTCCCAGACCATAAAGTCTACAAAGTGCTCTCTATTGAGGTCAGTGAAAGTACATAGTCTTTGTGAGGAGAGGGGGTGTTAGGTACTAGAGAAACTTTCAAATAGAATGGGATTAATTTCAGCTCACTTGGTCCATCCTGAGCGCTAAACAAAGCAGGGGTCTTGTGGAAAAAATTGTATGTGAATTCAAAATTAAACTCGCAATGCATTCAGGGAAGGGGGCAGAATTTAAGTTACATGGCATTTCTGAACTCTGGGGTGCCTCTGTAACAAATAACATTCTTAAATATATTTTCTGGATGTAATTATAATAACAAACAATGAAATAATGGTGGCCATCTGTGATGGAAATAAATTGGTCTATCTGCTCTCATCTAGGCACTAACCCTTTTTCCACATGCGCCATGCAAGCTCCCTTCTCCATTCCTCTTATTATTGCATTTGTCTTTCTTGCCCACTTCTGACTTAATGGGTAGGTATTTGTTAGCTGCTCAACACAAATCACCCAACATATGGTACTGCTTACCATCATATAAATAATTAATGACAAGATATTGAACTTGGACCTCATGAACATCTCTAAGCTACTGGGCCATACCAAGCCTCACAAATTATGGATTACAAAGAGAAATGTGTTGAAGTGGAGACAGGCAAGGCAGAGAATGAGATCACTGATATTTTCCTCATCTATATTTGCTCATGGATCAATGCAGCTACAAAGATTTTTCTGCAGGGAATGAAAGACATAAGATAACATCATTATAGAGTTCAGTTTAATGAACTTCTAGCATTAAATTGGATTTTGCTTGAAAACAGTAATCAGGAAAATCAATAGCACTATCTGATTAAATCAAGAGGTACTGCTCCACAGCATCTTTAAAGATCTCACTACTGCCTATTTACAGCATTTAGCTGAAGTTTCTTCTTCTTTTTGAGCTGTTTTTGTCTGAAAAACTCTGACAGAACTGAAGCACATATTTTAGTTGTTGTTTTTTAATTTGGCCAGGAAGCAGTGTTCTCTCTGAAGACACAGGTATGTTGCTTTGTGAATGACTAAAAAAAAAAAAAATTACAGTTAAACAGTACCTTTTATTCAAGGCTTTTGAGGAACTTTACATATAGATAGCACTTTGTTAAATTAGCCATAAAACTTCTGACAAGCAAGTATCATTTCTCCCACTTTATGGCTATAGGAAAACTGGGGCACATAGAAGATAAAGGCCTGGTTCTGCTTTTATTTGTACCACAGCAAAGCTTTCATTGAACCGAATAAAATTAAACTCCACCCCCCCAGGACACACTGGAAGTGACGGGAGAATCCCAACCTATGCATCTCAACAAGGTGTGAAGATGCCAGCTCCACTTGAGGTCAGCAGTCCTAACTGTACCACAAGTCCTGTGGCTACACATCTGATGTTCTGGTAAGGAAGGCCAAATCACACTTCTATCAGGAGAACAAGCAGCAACTGGGGCATGGAGGGAATAAACAACTTGACCGTGTCACAAAAGAGCTTGTGACTGAGCCAAGAACTGAATCCAGATCTCCAAAGGACCAGGCAACCATTGCCTTAATCACAAGGCCATTCTTTAAGACCTACCAAGAACTGACACAAGGAAAATGCTCTGCTGTTGTGCAAGTGTTCCACACTTCTAAGGATGAACACGCAGCAGTGGGCATTGGCCCGGTTCTTCAGCAGCTCTGCAGTATTCATGGGCTACTCTCATAAATAAGGCCAACTTTTTTACCCTGCCTGTATATTACATTCCTTTGCCTACAAGAAGACTTGCATGTCACACTCATTGAAAGGGTACAGTTAAGCTTATGCATTTAAGGGCTCCAGATATTCTCTACTCTAAGGAGTTCAACAGCAGAAATTTTAATTTACAGAAGCAAAAGTCACTACCTGTTTTATTACATGTTCCTTAAAATTGCCATTCTCTCTCTCTCATTGTCCCAAGAGGCTAATTCCAGTGAGAGCTACATTAAGCATTTTTTGCTCTTCCCAGTGCAAGTCACATGAGAAAAGATATTTTCTTTGCATTGTTTCCTTAGAACAGATTGTAAGTTTGCCTGTAAACTTTATTTCTGCAATAAATTGCCTCAATAAAATATAACAATATACTTTATTTCTTTTACACAGATTTCACAGAGACCGAAGTATCTTTAATATCTCCAAGGACAGAAACCTGCAAAAGCTCCCCTACTGATTTCTTTGGCTCTCATCCCCCTAACTCTTTTCTCAAGGACTCAAGTCCAGCTCTGCTTGTGAAAGAAAAAGATACTTCCTGTACAGTGCTAAATGAAAAGTATCAAGGGGATGATGTGTGCGGGGGAGGAAGGGAGCAAGACGGGAAAGAGGAGGTCATGGAAATTGTACAGTTGGGATAGCCAAAGAAAAATAAAGCAAATGGCTGTTCCATATTACACACTAAATCACAGTTTACTCCAGGATTGAACAATGTAGTTCTTAGTTTCTTAAGTGCTGCATCTCTCCAGGTACGTAGGATTTTAGTAAAGTAACTTTTAAAAAGCCTAGAATTTTGAAACATTAAAGCATTAATATTTCAAGTTTGAGCACTGATTAATTTAGGACACTGAAATGTTTGTTTTTCAAAAGAAAATGTAAGTCAATGCATAACCTACACAAACTAGGGAGCATTTGATGAGAAGTTGGTAAAGGGATTGTTTTTATAGAAGAGAAATTTAGAGAGAAAATGTAAGCAGTGTTCCACTGTTAAAGAAACAGGTGGAGATTTCCATCACCAGTATACATAGAGCCTCAATGTCTCTCCGAGTTGTTTTAACTAATCATTTTCTCCTTTATGGAGATGGTCCTCTCAAAACACTCATATTTATTCTCTCCCCCTAGGTGTAGAAAAATCTCAAGTATTTTCTGTGGTTTAGTTCAAATCGAAAGGCAAGTGTACTAAACTCTTGCTTGAAATTTGTCAATTTGTCCAGATCACCGTGTTCATTACTCCTGTGCATCAATGCAGTCACATCCTAAATGCTGAACTAGGGACATATTAAGCATTACAATCTGAAATGCAAAATATATAACACAATCAAGGCCTGAACTTACGTAGCTCTTGTCTGTGCCTCTCTGTCTGTGCAAAATACTGGCGGAGCTCCTCTGTGATCTCCATGTTGCTCAAGTCATACTCTATTTCGCCTTCAGACACAGATTCCTTCTCCATTTCAGAATTGCAGTCCACATCCTCCCTCACTCTAGAACCACACGGGGCCCTTGAGTATTGCTGAGGCTGGGGAAGGTACTGGGTTCTGCCATTTCGATTGTTACCAGAAGAATAGTCACGAGCAGGTGATGGGTCACTTCCATCCCAATCAGAGTATCGATTACTTGGAAAGATTGCAGGAGGATAGCAGGAGAGATGATAGGACTCCATAGCTTTCCTGAAGGCATTTTTATGCTTGTACATCCAGCCCATGGCTAGGTTGTAGTGCTGCCAGTACCTTCCATATACTTGATGACAATACCATGGTTCAGAGTCTCCTTGTGACAATTCCTCCTAAAAAAGGAGAAGCAGAAGAGTCAGGGGCAACACTGTAAAGACAGTTCCTAGATCGCTAAATCTTAAGTGTTTGACTTTCTATACCAACAAAATACGTATAATTTAGAGGAAAATGACAAATGATAAAGGATGAACACATCAAAAATACAAAAATTGATCATGTTGTTTATCCCACTCACCACAATCACTAACAAAGAAAATAATAAAGTGACCGTGTCAGAGTATTACCCCAAATGCTCTGCTAAAATGGCAGAAGCCATTTTTCTGTGATGAAGTGCTATGTAGACATAAAAGTACAGCTGGGATGTCAAACTTATCTGATCAGAGCAGGTGCTGCACCACACCAGTGTCCACCCCAGCCACATGGGACACACACTCTAAGAACCACACCACATATGGCGCCCATTCCAGTTGGTCCAGGATTTGCGCTGCACATGGCGCTTGCAGGTGCTATGTGCAGCATGGGTCCTGGACTAGGTGGAGCAAACATTGCGTGAGGTAGTCTTGGAGCTGCTGTGGGAGGGTGGAGGGCATATGCAGAATGTATCCTGAAGCAGGTGCCATGTGTGGCACAGCCCAGGTGGGACAGGCACCACGTGATGTGGTGCTCACTTTGACCGGTTTGGGACCAACACTGTATACCACCATCTAGATCACGTCATGCATAGCGCCTGTTCCAGCTATTCTGGGATCTGTGCCATAGGTACCCACACGTGGCACAGTCCCAGAGTGACTCGAGTGGATGTCTCACACAGCAGCTGTCCTGGGTGCTGCCAGCAGGGCTGGTCCAGTGTGCATTGTGCCCCGCATGGATCTCCTCAGACCCAGGGGTAGCACCAGGGATCAGATGTTAGGGTTCCACAGGTTGGATCCAGCCCACAGGCAATATGTTTGACACCCCTAGTTTATGCAAACAAATCTCTTCATATACACATGCAGGAGATGAATAGTGAGCAGAAATCATTTTAATAGGTGCTTCTCTTCTACTAAATGGGCTGAACATGAGTAGAGCTGGAGTGGAGGCTAAGATAACAGAAACGGATAGTCTTGGGTTGGTGTTACCTACTGGCCTATTTCAGAGGAGAAACAGGCACTTCCTTTTTAGGATACTGAGTTCACAGTAGTGACACTGAGTTTAAGGATAATTTGAAAACAGTTTATTTGGTTGGGTACTCATGCATCCTGACAGCATGTCTGTCTTAAACTGACAAGATCCAAGAAACTTAGCGTGACAGCTGGTGCTTTCTCCTTAACACGTCACCTTAGTTTAGATAGTGTATGCATTAAGAAGTCAATTTTACATAATTATATCCATTTTCTTATGCACAAGCCCATTGTTACTGAATTCAGGTTAACAGCACCTTTATCTGAAGTCTTTTTTTCTGCAAAACCAGCCCCCATCAAAGAAGGTGTTACAAATATTGACTGTTTGAAGGTAATCAGTGTATTTCAGAAAAAATATCTAAAGCTAATCATCTTCAATGTTTTTCACTTGTTTTGCTTAAAAATTCTGAATCTGTACAAATTAATGAATCTATACAAATGATTTTAAAAAGTTACTAAATAAAAGATTTGACTTTTCAGATAAGATATGATGGCTAGACAGACACGCCTCATCTACTAGCATTGCATTGAGAAGGCTCCACTGATATACCATGGTTTATTTCCAATTTAAGCATATGTGAGAGAATGATCTTGCCCTTTATACAGAACTTTATTCATAATTATATTCTAAGACATATAATAGTGTTCTTACTTCATTATAGTTAAGTAAGATATGTGGGGAGCCAGAGGAAAAGCAAGGGCAACACTGGACCCCTGCT